TTTTTTTAGCATATTTATCATCAAATGTTACGCACATATTTGCAATATTATTTTATAAATTTTATATAAACATATAGAATTTATAATTTATCCGATAAAAATTGTATCCATAACAGTTTGTATAAAATTGTTCATAAATTTTTAATTTTTGAAGAGTGCATTTTTATAATCGAAGAATTGTATAATATAAAGATGAATTTCTATTTCTATATAAGTTTATGTGTGTACTCACAAAATTTTTAATCTGCCATACAATTTAATATATATGTAATATGCTAAGATGTTTTATCATTATTTTGTAGAAAAAGAAAAGCATTATACTCTATGAATATGTACAAATTCGGAGCTCGCCTGATACAAATTGTAGTCTAGATGTATCATTCGAGCTAGCCTTTTATTGTTATTTTATATAAAATTTGTTTTATAGATATATACATCTTATTAATATGTATGCAATCTGTATGATGAAATGTCATTATTGTTACTAAATATAAAATGTGAACGAGTGGTATTATAGTAATGCATTAAATTGCAATAAAATATTAATACAGAAAATGTATAAATAATATTGTGCATTACTGAAATAACAAAAATTTTAATAATAAAGGACTATATTTTGAATGTAAATTTTCTACTGTATTTTAATATAACATAAAATATAACAAATAAATATTTTTTTAATAAATTGCAGATATAAGGTTTATAGGGTTATACATATATGACAATTTTGAAGAATTAAGTTTTTTATAACTTGTATAAATTTAAAATGGAAAATACTGTTTCTTCTTATATACAAATTCATTTCTTTATCACATTGTAAATTTCAGCGACATAATTTGTTGCAAAATGAAATAAGATCATGCAATGTTGCTAAATTGATGATAGAACTCAGGGACATTTCAATTAACTTAATTTGCATAGAACGATGCTAACGCAATCGTTCAAATATTGAATTTTTACATTGAGTCAAATCGAGTATAATTTTTATATCAATCTTTCATCGCTTTGCAGCGCAAGACAGATGACGAAAAGTAAATATGTTCTTTGGAGCCATGAGCGTTTTTGACGGGAAAAAATAGGCACATTCATTATGACACAAACATCTTGAAATGCAATTCACTTGTTATTGTGTGTTATTGTGTTACTAATTGACATTTAATATAATATAATCCTAATAAATTAAGTGATAAAAAGAAAATAAATTTTAATAAATTTTCGTGATTGAATTACACGATACAGTTTCTCCACTTCTTTTGAGGTTATATTCCTTGGTGCTATTAACAACTTAATATTTACATAACAAATAACTAAAATTCAAAACATTATTAGCATCATAGTTTAAATTGTTATAAATTGAATTCAGCAGAGGAATAAATAAAATGAAATATATGAAAAAAATGTAATATTTTATTTAAAATCATACTTCAAAGTAAGAATAATTTTATATAACTATAATATGTATTTGTTTCAGTATGCATTTGTCATGATAATTATTGATTTATAAATTTTTATAATTTTTATATGGAAATTTTTAGATGATCAAACTAATATAATTATGTCAAAAAAGAAAAGAGATCATGGTTGGGGAGAAGATGGCTTTGAAGAATGGGTAAGTATACATTAATATTTATTATTTATCCACATATATACAACAAAAACACATTTAATTTGTTTCTCGTTTTATAACAATGTATATCTATCAGGGCGGTTACATGGCTGCGAAGAAAGCCAAGTTAGAAGAACAATTTCGTGATACTGCAAGCAAAGAATTTAAGCAATCGTCGAAACTATTTGAAGGAATTGCAATATTCGTGAATGGCTATACAGATCCACCATCAGATGAACTTAGACGTCTAATGATGATGCATGGAGGAATATATCATCATTATATGCGTCCTAAAATCACAACTCACATTATAGCATCTAATCTACCATATTCTAAAATAGTGATGTACAGAAAGACTCAAAATCCAATTCCTATCTGCAAACCGCAGTGGATTATCGATAGCATAACAGCTGGAAAGATCTTGAATTTTCAAAACTATTTGCTTTATTCTAACAGCACTAATGTACAGCCCCAATTGATATATAAATTAAATAATCAGGATAAATCTAATACTGATTTGATTATGCATGATAATCAAGATACTGACAAATCAACTTCAGCGAGCAACGAAGCTAATATGAATATTGAAAATTCATCAAAACAAAATGAGTTTAACAGTATATTAAAACAAGACACAATCAGTTCTCGTCAAATTCCAAATACAAAAATGAATGCACAGTCGACAAAGGATGCTGAATTTCTATCAACATTTTACAATAATTCGAGACTGCATTATATTTCTACTATGGGAACCACTTTTAAAGATTATGTCAACGACTTGAGGAACAAAAGCAACGGGGTATTTTCTGGTCTTGAGCGTTTAATAAAACTAAAAAGTACCAAGAGTATTTCAGTTGATTACGAATCGGGTTCGGAAGATGAGACAGTTTATTTTACAGATAAAATTGTAAATAAAATGAACCTTAAGCAAGAATCTATTATAATGCATATTGACATGGATTGTTTTTTCGTATCTGTGGGAATCAGAAATAGACCGGAATTGCAAGGCCTGCCAGTGGCGGTAACGCACGCAAAAGGCAATACGTTTTCGACAAATTACGACGGTAAGGAAGAGTTCGGATCAATGTCAGAAGTAGCTTCGTGTTCGTATGCAGCGAGAAAGGCTGGCATAAAGAATGGCATGTTTCTGGGAGAGGCATTAAAACTGTGTCCAGGCTTAAAGACAATTCAGTATGATTTTGAGGGTTACAAGGAAGTTTCATACATATTGTATGACACAGTGGCATCTTATACCTTAGATATCGAAGCAGTAAGCTGCGACGAAATGTATGTAGATTGCACAAAAATTCTTCGAGTATCCGGACTCACACCGTTGGAGTTTGCCACTATAATTAGAAATGAAATAAAACAGAAAACGGATTGCCCAGTATCTACAGGATTCGGCAACAACAAGTTGCAGGCGAGATTGGCAACGCGAAAAGCTAAACCGGATAATCAATTTTATCTAAGCAGTAAAAATGCAGAAATATATATTCGAACTTTTAATATAAAAGATTTACCAGGTATATTGATTAGTCAACATTGTTACTTCATAATTTTTTATTTTTAATCATTTCATTATTTTTATTTAATTTTTAATGCTCTTTTCGCTTTTATTCTCAGGAGTTGGTGGAACAACGACGTACAAATTACATAAAATGAATGTATATACATGCGAGGATTTGCAAAAAATTGCGTTGGGAGTTTTGCAAAAAGAGTTTGGCAAGAAGATGGGAGAACAGTTGTATAAGATGTGCCGTGGTTTAGATGATACAAAGTTGAATCTGGAATACGTCAGAAAATCTGTGTCAGCTGAAGTTAATTACGGCATAAGATTTCGAAATAATGGCGATGCTATCGATTTTTTAAGTGAATTATCCGCGGAGGTATGCAATCGATTGACAACGGCTCGTGCAAAAGGCAGATGCATCACACTGAAACTGATGATTAGAGCCGAGGAAGCACCGAAAGAAGCACCGAAATTTATGGGTCACGGTCTTTGCAATTATGTAACTAAATCAAAAAATCTTATAACGGCTGTTGATGACATCAATATCATTAAAAGGTGAGTTTTCGTTATTTTTAATTTATATATATATATATATATATATATATATATAAAGAAATTATGCAAGTATATATCTTATTATTTAGGGAAGTTATAAACATTTGGAATCAGTTACATTTAACACCTGAAGATATGAGAGGAATTGGAATACAAATATCCAGACTAGAAATATGCAAAGCTAAACAGACTAAAAATAACTTAGTTAATTTCTTTAATAAAACGAAAAAGTCGGAACAAGTCATAACAACGTGTGATAAAATATTAGAAGATATCGATAAAGATCGATGTGTCCCAAATTTTAATAAAAAATCTAAACCGGACTACTCTGAAATACTTTTGGTTACAGAATCATCGATGGCAATAAAAAATATTTGTGATACAGAAATTAGTGATTTGTCGCTGGAATCGGCAAAATCTTCAGAATCTACCGGTGTAATAATTCCAGTCAATGTTCAAGTTGAATCGTCAATGATTACAACTCAAACAAAAAATAGAAAGCTATATGATCCTAAGGCATATAAAAGTATTACCAAAGCAAAGGATGTACTTATGAAATCGAATAATAAAAAAATAATACAGAAACAGACATCTCAAGAGAACTTTTTTAGACATGTAAAACCAAATAGCGGACGATTATCGAAATATGAGATGCCTCCAATACAAGATATCGATATGTCCGTATTAATCGAATTACCCGCAGATATAAGAAATGAAATACTTGACGAATATAAAGAAAATAAAAAAAATCTCAAGTTATAATGAATACCGCAAGTACAACTGATCTCATAAATGACGGTTCGCACGACGAAGCAAACATACAGAATTGTTCGCAAGTTGATCCGGACGTTTTATCAGCTTTAATGGAAAGTGACTTACATCCCGATGTGCAACGCGATGTGCAAATGTATTGTGATATGAAAAAAGAAGCAAATAGAACGAATTTCAAAGAAACAAACGAAAAGAGCAAACAATTGCAAGAAGCAGCTACGTCTTCGAAAATTAATAATACAGAGAATGTGAAACTTATTGTAGATAATATTTGTATAGATGATGCTGGACATACACTACAAGGGAACACAGCATTGCATGCAGGGAACCAAAAGTCCGACAAGGACGATGCCATCAAAATGAAATCTATATCATGTCAAACTAATCGTACCGAGATATCACATAATAACGCTGCAATGGATAAAGCCGATACCTTTATTTTACAGAATTTAAATATTTTACATAACAATGAGAACGTAGATAAACATCAGGAAATGTTGATTAATCTCGTGAATCATCTCTTCACTCTTCCATTACAACAGGTACCGCATAATTATTTCGTAAAGACAAATTATTAAATAGGAACTGAGTTTTTTCGCATTCTATTTTTGAGATCTGGTGCACGTAACTGTTGCAATTTCAATATTAAACAGCAAATTGTACAAAACTATTTCTTAACAAATAATATACAAATTGTTAATCATTATTGCCATAATATTGACATATCAGATGCATCAGAAATTATTTCTTTCCTATATATATTTATCCGATTTTGAATATTAGACGGTGAATTCTGTTCTTTGAAAAACGTGATATTTTTTGTGTTTAATAATTGGTGTTCAGATCGCTCGATCTGTATAGAATTAGTAATTATAAAATGTATTTAAGATGTAAATGTGTGAATATGATCATGCCGAAGATTAAAATGGTAACTGTGACATTGGCAGCAACAAGTAAAGTTATGGAAGATTCAAGTCTGATAATAAAAAGTGTGTCAGTAATATCCCATGACAATTGTTAGCTTATCACAGTACGTTGCGCAATACGGTTTTATTTTCGATATTTTCAGTTTTAGATTTACCCTTATCATGTACATTCTAAAATGACAACTTTGAAAATTTTATTCTAGTTTGTAAATGAACGTGACATGGATTATTAATGCACTTCACACGTGAATATTTCAAATAAATACTAATAAAATATTCACCTTAAACAGTTAATTAAAGAGAACAGAAAAAGAAGAATGGATATTTTTAACAGAATTAGGAAATTTCCGATTAAATTATCTTCAATATTCCTGCGGATAATGCATTCAAGGTTTTATACGTTTTAATATAAAATAGAGCAAGAAATTTTCTTGCTCGATTTTCGATAAAAATCGTTTAGATCACATTATCTTTTTTGATAATAATTTTATCATTACGTATGTGTAGATTACTATTTGAAAAATTGCATTAACATATATCTTTATCTCAACTGAATTAAATATTTTTATAGGTAAAGATACAAATACAAACATGGGTTACCAAATCTAACATCGTGAACGAAGTAGATTTCTTGTCACTTGCAACGTTTCTTAGCATGCTTCCAGAAAAGAAACGCATCGAAGATTTGCACGTCTTGTTAAAAACAATGTACAGGTAATCTATTCTTGAAATGTTTGAGTTACGTTTTCCTTTTTATATAACAATTGGATAATAAATAATATACAACGCAGATTTCAAGGAATAGATCGCTTTACTCGCTCTTTCATGATCGATAAATAAAAATATTCGGCATACGATAAAATATTACATGTCTATCTGGTTTCTTAGATGTACAACTAAAACTGGAAACTGCATTTGGCATAGAACATACAGGAGAACCGTGAAACATGTTCAACGTTATATGCAGATTGAGTACAACAACAATTTAATGGTACCGTTGATCAGATGCAATGATCCAAAATGTAACAACGACAATTGAATACGAAATCTCGTGAATTTAATAAATTAAATCTTCTACTATAATGAATGTGTAATATAAGAAAATCTATTTACAAGTAAATGTGATGCCTTTAATTCCATTCGAACGTAAATGCCATCTTTGTCTAAAGAAGCCAGTAATACACGACTTTAATGTATGCCTTTGGAAAAGATTGCTCGGTTTTGTATAAATTAGTAAGAAGTCATCAATCTCGAATTCGTGTATTTCTTTCGTAATATATTTATATATTTATATATTTTTTTAAATATATTTTTTCGCTTTGTAATATCGTTACGCGCGCAAGGGATGGTGAAAAAATAGAAAGGGGCCAGATGAGCGTTTACTACTCCCATTCAGTTGTTCCCGGCGGTTTAGACGTCAAGTCATATAAAACTCGTGAGATTCCGGGTACTGTGGATATTTCAGTTACCATCTTTTTCACCACCTGTGAGACATAATTGGTTTTAATTGCATATATAGCCTTAAGCATATTATTCTTAATGTATAGAATATATGAAAAATATATGAAAAAATTATGTCAACTTACATGTATTGGTAGATCTTTGCCAGGAATGGCAGGCATGCCAGTCATAAAATCATTAGTACAGAATGGCCTAAGCACAACAGAACGTTGACATGATAACGTTCGACATGCCGTGTCGCGGTCAAAATGTATCGGGATTAGAATAATGGGCATCTGATTAATGGCTCCCATACAACCATTAGAAGCCAACACTTGATTAGCTAAGTGGTCCGCCTGTCGTAGTGTTGCTATCACATTCGAAGTGAGGTACGTAGGCGTGATATCCTGGATCGGATGATGAAGCTGCGGTCCGAAAATGTAGCACACACGGTTTACATTATGACACACGCGTGGAATTAGTTTTGCAAGGAATAACATATCCTCCCATTCCACACCCTCGGATACAGTTTCCTCACACGATAAACCTACTACATAACTATAACTTCTTCGATCACCCTATGAAGATTGAAAAATATTTAAACATCTGGCAAAATTAGAAATCAAATATTTTGTTATTGATAATTATCTCTTAATATGATTTTTTAATACCTGAACTCCTACGCTACGAATAGGCAAGAGAGTCGCCGCGATATGACGATGACTTGAAACCCTGCGAAGTTGCTGACGTTCTACTTCGCTCGTTGCGCCTTCGACGCGATTTAATAATGCATGTTTCTTCTGAAGCATCTGCTCATACTCGGCCATTATTTTTACTATGACCTACAAATAAGCAAAATTACAATTTATATCAACAATTCATGTCGTTTTAGAGAATTTTAGAGAAACAAATGTGGAATTTCAATATTTTTTATTTCGCGCTCACATTACCTGTGTTTCGGAGAAATCCTTTTCTATGTATGGTTCATCTGCGCAAAGAATTCGTACCGCGAGTCCGGGTCCTGGAAACGGATGACGCGCGACAAGCGCCGCCGGCAATCCGAGATCACATCCCAATTGCCTTACCTCATCTTTATGAAAATCTTTCAAGGGTTCGACTACATGTCCTTGCGCTCGTAGTACTCGTACCAATTCACTGTCGTTATGATGCGTTTTTATGGCATCCGCTTTACCTAAATGGATATAAAAGATTTGCATTCATGCAGCACGAAAAAATTTTGAAGAGCTTTAAACAGATATTTACCACTGACTAAGGCGCTTGCACTTTCTATTAAGTCGGGCCTGAGAGTCCCTTGACCGAGGAAAATGTCCTCTGGCTTCAATCCCATTTCTGTCATTGCTTCGTTCGCAACTCTTATGAAAACATCTCCTATAATTTTTCGCTTCTCCTCTGGGTTGGTAGTCTCGCACAGCATCTTAGTTAATCTGGTTCTTGGACTACTCGCGGCGCCGCATATTCCTTTGTTATTTGTAACATTGGCATTCATTGCAGGTGCAACGTTATCCAATGGAACGGTCGTCGTTCCTTGCATGAAATAGCGTCCAGCATTTACTACTCTTAATGTGACACACAATTGAGCTAAACTTTGTTCCACGAATTGCGTTTCTCCCTTACGCATGAAGCCGTTATTAATGTGTAGAGCTATAACTTGCTCCTTACTTAAAGCTTTTTGTAACAGAGCTGCGCACACTGTAGAGTCCACCCCACCGCTTACTAATAACTACAATTTAAATTAATTTAAATGAAATATCTCTTTCGAAATATCTCTTACATATTTAAAACATTGCAACTTAATATCACTTTAGAGTTTGATTTATATTATAAATTATAAATTAGAGTGCTTAATTACGTACCAGAACTTTTTTATCGCCTACAGTATTTCTGATATATTGGATACATTGCGTCTCCCGATCACGGAGCGTGTAATTACCCGTAAGGCCAGAGATACCGAATAAAAAGTTATGAAGCATTGATTTTCCATTAGGCGTTAAGTCCACCTCTGGATGAAACTGTACGCCATACAAATTCATCTTATCGCTTGCTATACCTGCTATAAAGCTTGACGATCTGGCAGTAGTACGAAAACAGTCGGCCACCCTATCTATGCTATCTCCATGACTTAGTAGTACCATCTGTTCCTTGTCCAAGCCCCTAATGAATAACAAATTACTTATCTACTTATCTACTTCGCATGTTCAAATGTTTCAAATATTTAAGAATATTTTTATTATTTAAACAAATAAATACTATTTAGTTAGTAAATATCAGTCAGTAAATGTTTTTTATATTTTAATATTTTACGATTAAAATTTACGTACTTAAATAACAGGCACTTGGTATCAACTTCAATAGGAAATTGACCATCCTCTCGAGTCTCTCTCCTAGTTACACTACCACCGAATTCTTTATTCATCATCTGCATTCCGTAACAGATACCTAGTACAGGAATTCCTATTCGAAAGATATCGGCATCATATCTAGGTGCATCTTCTGCATATACTGAACTAGGACCACCAGAAATTATGATAGCCCTGAAAAGATGTTAGAAATGTTAGAGATAATTCAAATTTGCTTTACATATAATTATGACAGCAAAGTTCATAAAATTAGATATCTTACTTATATCCTTTTTCTTGAAGAGTAAATGCAGGTGTATCAAGTGCCAAAATTTCACTATGGACATTTAATTCACGAATCTTTCGGTCTATTACTTTTCCATATTGTGCGCCTGCATCCAAAATAGCCACTCTTTCATCAACAATATCCATGGTTACTTCATCGGCACCATTATTTCTCTCAGCACGAAACAGCAATCCATCAGCACTTTTTTCCATTTCAATGTTACGTTAATATTAATAATCTTGCTATGTTACTAAATCTGCAATAATTTGGAAAGAAAAACATCGAATATTAAAGAATAGTAATAAATCATAACAGGATCATAATTCATCATTTAATTAGGAAAATGCTATACTATGATAAATATATTTCTAATTAATATATTTCTAATTAATCTAATTGTATTGAATAATAAGACAATCTTCTTTGATTATTCTTTCTTTGATCATTTCTTTAAATGTTACACAGTCCTTATGATTATATAATTAAGCTTGCTCAATATTGTTTTCGCTCATTATCTTTATGCGTCAGAGATTTTGATAATACAGGAATATATTTACGTAACAGAACTAAATATGAGATAATTAAACTGGCACATATTTTAACACACATTTTAGATCTAAACAAAATTTTTTATATTGTTTTAAATTCTATTTTATATATTTTTTTAAATTATAATGCTTTATTCTAGCGCCAAAAGCTTGCAAAATACAAAGAAATATTAATCACTTGTATTTTAAAATAGTATAATTTTCTGATAATTTCTTAATACTTTATTCAATAATAAATCTTTTTTGAAATATTTCAAATTAATTTTTCTTATTCTTTCACACTTCTAATTTTTTAAACAATCTTAACGTTATTATTAAACATAAGAGTACAATAATTATGAATATTCATATACTAAGAATCGTCCATTCCATATCACGAATTTTCTATAACAGATGGTAGCTTCGTATAATATTCATATTACTAATTGTTCTGTCTTAACTATACGAAAACTCAGTGACAGGTAAGAACGTTACTACCTCACATGCTATCGAACGTCTCAACGAACCGCCGTACGCTTCGATTATCATCCTCCAGCTCGACGATTCGCTCGACACACCCTATATATGTCCGAAAACACGCGAAGAATCGCGCTCGTGAATTTCGGCGGCGCACCGCGTAGCCGCCAGTTGGTTATTTAACAAAAAACAAATCTTTTACCGGGCATGCGAGGGGCGCCTCGGCGGTACGTTCGCGTAGCGAATCTGCAAACTATAGGTTATCTCGAGCGTCACCGTTTGGCCGGGGAACTATCGTTCGGCTTACCGGATCGTTCAACGAGAGACACCGCTCGCGAGGATCGCCGAATAAAGCAAAACTAATTGCAGAAGAACAGAATGGACAGACATCAGACGAGGCGGCCATTCGATCGCCACAATGCAGCGCGATCGTTGACTGCTTTCAAGTAGCGGTCGCGCAGGTGCGCCAATCCTCGCGTCGTGAAATCCCCAAAGCCGAGGCTCGCCGAGATCACCCATAATTCGATATTACGATATTAATTTTGTTACATAAAACCTAATTTTTATTATATATATTTTGTGTATAAAAATATAATTTATACGTACATATGTTGTATATTATTGTATATTATTTGTATTACAAATTCTTTGTATGTCTAAATCCGAATATGCATCAGCGCGACGCGCTAGTTTCCATTTTATGTAAATAAAATATATAATCTCAAAATATCTCTTTTTTTCTTCTCTCTCTTAAACATAACCCTACATTTAGTACGTACGCCAAGTACGTACAACGTGACTAGGGTATTTGGTTGCAAATTATGAAGTGTGGATGAAGCGCTCACTTCACGCGTATCGCGAGATAGCAACAATGAAATTGCAGCCTCGTGGAAAGCGACGATAGGAAGGAAAGATTTCACGCTTTCTCTCTCATCTAATATAAATATTCAATTTCGTTAAATATTTTATACTGAGAAAATAAAATTTCAAAGAAGGAAAGAAAAAAAGATATTATTTTTTTTATTAAGTTCGGATTAATTTTCAGAAAAAAATTGATTTACATTTTTGCTGAGAAATCTAATTGGAGTAGAAAACTTAAAATTGCGATTAATATTATATTAAGAAATTCAACTCCAGATTTGATGAAAAGTTTGTTAAATTTTTTTGATAAATGATCGAATGAGAGTGATAGTAATTATCGTAATCCCCTAACAAAAGACAATCCGTTATACTGATTATTCTGTATTATACAAATTTACATTACATAATTTATAGTTTCGTTAGCATATTTGTGCATAATTATATTATATTCTAAATTATACACATTAACATTTCATCCTGATTCATTTATATATTGTAAAATATTAATGAGGCAAAAAAATATTATCTCAATTAGAGAACGAACTTAAAACCTTCCAACTTTCTACAACAAGTGTTTTTGCTAGTACAACTATTAATATTTATTACAATAATTAGATTACGTAAACAAGAAATAAATGTTTTAACACAAGAAATATATACAAAGTATATACAATCATGGCATAGATCTTAGTGATTAATAATTATATTTATAAGTTTACATAAAAACATTTATCGATCCTTAAATGTTTATATAAAATATTAATATATATGAAAATTAAAAAATGCACAAAGTGCGTTCTCTTCTGTAAATTTTATATATACGTAAAATATAATGTAAAACACACATATAGTAAAGCAAAATATTTATATTTTAAAACATATTTTTTTCGTCAAAATATCAAGATAAGTGATTTTAATAATTTCTCTTTAGAATTTTAAGATTATTTTAAGATTATTAAAAAATTTTAGTTGGATAAAAACAATCTTGTACAATGCAGACAATCTTATCAAGAACTTCGTTAATTGGATTTTTCGGAATGAACATCTTGACATGATTCCAATCTGTCTATATCATAGATCATTTTCGAACTCGACGCAACGCAAGATAATGAATAAATCGCTTGGTTGTCAATTATATCACTCGGGATATATAGGAAACCATCTGTGACTTGATGGATAATTATGTAGGAAACACGCTCGGCGTTATTTCCGAATAGTACTCTGATGCGGAGCGAAAAGTACAATTACGTGTGGCATTGTATGTACACGAGCCATGGTAAAACGTATTATAGTATTTGCGCAGCTTAAAACCAGCAATTTTCATAGCAGCTTGTTGAGAATTCTCGGCTTCAGAGAGACAGCTAAAACAACAAGTTGAATATGCAGGCCGCTCTAATGACCGTCTTACACGAGCGAAATAATTGAACGCTTGTGTCTCACGTCGCAAGCTCATCAATTAATTCCTCCGGGATTGGGTCTTCCTTCCATCCGTCCTATCTGCCTGAAATACATGTGATTACAATCGATCCGACATCTAACGATCTATTTACACGATATTTACGTAAGGGGCGATTCACCAAGGATAAGTGCAAACTATAAAAGATGTATCTAGCCAAATAAGATGATCAGTTTCGCGCGGTACGAATTCTTAATAACGATAAAATATGAGTAGATCGAGTCTCTGCTTGCTGGCCATTCTGGCCGTCGTGGTGGCCGCCACCGCCGAAGAATTGTACTCTGACATGTTCGATCACATCGATCCCGATGAAATCTTGCCGAACGATGAGCTTCGAAATCAATATTACAAATGCTTCATGGACACCGGCCCGTGCGTAACGGAAGATCAGAAATTCTTCAAACGTATGATCTTTCTCATCAATTCTAAACTAATTGAACTATTTGAATTTTGTAACAAATATATATTTATTTAATATTAAAAGTGACAGCTCTATCAATGTCACCGTTAATAGTAAAACAATTATTATTATTTCTATTCTTTTTTTTTTTTTAATAGTATTCTATTCGAATAGATAGAAATATTCGAAATTTTGTTTTACAGAGCATGCCGCTG